CAAGGCATCGTACACCAAATGTTGTTGTTTCGAAAGAACGACAAAGTGGGGATTGTCATGGACGGGATCGAAGGAACTGACAACCAGCAGAACTATTGACGATGACAACAACTACAAGAACGTGACGGGTCTGAGTACGATCGCGCCTGTGTCACTCGATCTCGTCAAGCAGCTCCACGTCATGGAAGCGGCATCCGTAGAGACACCTGCGGACGATCTCGACGGAAATATCGTTGCCCTCGCCTTGGTCCTTCGTCGCACGTGCAACAAAAAGTACGACAACCGCCTCGTCGTGATCACGGATGCCGCCACGCGAACAAACAATTCGTCAGACCTGAAGGCCGTGTGCACGATGATTCAAAACCTCGAAGTGAATCTATAAATCATGTACGAACCTACATGGACACACTGTCTTCGTTATGGCGGCACTGCCTTCCGATCTACCTTGGGAATTTGTTCGTTGGATACACGTGTTATTGCACTACACGTTGCGGGTTGACTACCAGCGCGTCAGACACGTCCTTTGTTGTGAGAATGATCACCACGACGAGAGGATGGCATTCCTGTTAAATATTCCCCTGCGTACTCCGCAGGTCGTTCGATTTCATTCTAACCAGACACTTTTAATGCAGAGACATGGACTTTGGATACGAAGCATGAACAGCCTGACGGGGTAAAGGACGAAGCAGTTGCCGCATCATTCATCAAGGTACGTGAAGTTTTCAACCATGCATGACGAATGGATGTGAGGTCGTACCACACCATTGTCAAGTGGTGACTCGAAGCTTCAACCCATCGCATTCTGCTTTGCAATGTCACGCTTCTGTATGCAGAGAATAAAAAGATGCTGCATTCGATAGCGACGAAAGTCCAAGTAGAAGTCCGTGTCGGAACGACTTGATGTCCTCGCCCAAAGCAAACGCAAACCCGTGCTTCAAGTGAGTAGGCTTCTGTTCAATTCATTGTACTTTTGGATGTATATTTTTGCTGTACTTTTTGCATGTTTGCTATGGTAGTGACGAATCTCATCGTTCCTTCATGGGTACACGTCAGTGGTGTACTGTTAAAGTACCAACCATATCTTCCTCAATTGGATCGATCAATGCCCTGAAACTTTCATCAAGGTCGAAGACTGTGCTTCTCGCTCAGACATGAATAGATTTTTTGGACGACGAAAATGCGCTGGAACTTGGAATTTGGCGAAAACCTTGTCATTCCGTATTTGGCAACGTTCTGGAGGCGACGATCCCGTCGCTACAAAACGCTAGTCGCCAAGAAGAGCTCCACGTTTGCCGAGGACGACGTGCCCAGAAACGTTCGCATGGACCGCAGCTACTTTATCACGGTACGTTTACAGTGTTTACTTTCTTGTCCTCTCCATTCCATTGATATTTCCATGCCTATCATGAAATGCATGTATGACTCAGGTACGTGTCGTTGATGCTGCTGGATATGAGCAGGGTCGTGCGAGGGTGTTGATATTTTTTGTGCCTTGG